TCTACTACCTAACTCCACCAAAATCCGAGAAGGGTCCACTCTACCTGTCCACTACCTTTAAGAGGAAATTTCTGCTATGCATGAATTACGAGCGTGAAGTGAGGCGGTGGCGAGTACGATGGGTTACCTACCTTGATTGCTTCTTTGATCATATACGCTTTCATAATCACCTTGAAAGTGACATCTTCCATGTCAAAGTCAAAATCGAGTACCTTGAATTGCGAAGAATATCTTAGGCACTGAAAAAAACGACCGAAGAAACCTTACTTCTTGAGTGTCTAGAGTCTGTACACTCATATCAACAACAATGCCATCTTCCTCAAGAATTAACTTCAGTGGTTCACCAAATCCATCATACGTCATCTTTAACGTTGCACCCGAGCCCGTATGCATTCCTATGCATTCCTGAATTAGGTTCAGAATGGCTCTATTCCACAGAACGCTTGCAACAATATAAACGGGCTCACATTGATCACATTTAGTGGCACTCGGAAAAGTACAGTCTGCTCACGTAAGTTGAAGCACGAAAATAAATCGTTTGAAAGATAAGCGATCGCCTGTGAAAAGCAGGTTTCAAAACAAAATTCTAGAGATTACAAATCACACCAACTTGCTCACAGTGGTTGTCGTCCACAATGATGCGCATCCCTTGAGGTGTCGCTTGAAATGTACCGCTCTGAAATATGAACTTTTGGAGTCAGCTTAGCTTGTAAAAGATAGAAAATCTTGCCAGAAAAGACAGGGCTCAAATTTACAATTTCAACCTCGGGCATAGTTCACGCGACTTCGTCGCCTCGCGATTCTCCCAACAACTATTACGAGTTCACCGCATGTCGATCATCTTTTTCAGCCTTTCGGTAGTGAAAGTCATTCACGATTAGTCGCGTCAGTAAACCATTACAACCGAGGTACAGGAAGAACGGCATGCAATGGATTAGTAACTGTTGTTGGGACAATCGCGAAGCCTGAAATCGAGGAAGTTATGCTTGAGACCTAAGGGAGAATGTTTTTGATGTAGACACATTTCGTGCTTGATCCAATCAATTCATTTCACCGTCGCTCAGAGGCTTTGACCATAAATTACCAGTGTTACTCGTATTACTCGTGTTACCCGGTTACCAGTATTACTCGTGTTACCTGGTGTTATCCATGTTACTAGTGTTACCCGTGATTCTAATGTCACTCGTATTACCGGTGTTACCAGTGTTACTGGTGTTACTGATGTTACTAGTGCTACCGCTTTTATACCTGTTGAGTAGTAGAATGATCACCAATATACCAATCATTTCACGACTCAACTATAAAAGCGGTAACACTAGTAACATTAGTAGCACGAATAACATTGGTAACATCGGTAACACGAGTAACACTCGTAAAACCGGTAAATCAGCAGCACGAGTAACACTGAACACTGGTATCACTGGTAATGTATGTATGGTCAAAGCCAAAGTGAACTGAGCAATAGGAAAGTGTAAGGAGTGGATCAAATGAACTTCCGCTTCACCTTTAATCAGTTCACTGACTGAACCAATAGCGAAGGGAATAAAATAGCGGAAGCAAATCAAATATAGCGCACAAAATATAATGTCAAAATAAGATAAAATTTAAAAAGTAAAATAAAATGAGATAAAACAAAGAAAGAACCTGAAACTGGCTCACCTCACAAAACGATATTGCCTTCAAGATTCCGCCCAGATCACGAACGTGCGCCTTCTTCAACTCCAACAGGTGTGCTTGATCCGTACGAGCATCTCCACTGGCCATTTGCATTCTCTGTGGCTTGGCTTACAAATTTATGAAGTTTGCGAGATTGCACCGCTTCTGCCTCATTGAGAGAACAGATACTGCAGTAAAAGTGTACTGCGCCAGTTATTTCGAGTTAATTCTACACTTGAAGTGACAAGCAAAGAACCGTACATTTTTATTTGATACCCAAAACATACTCACAATGACAACAAATTCATCCAGTTATATCAATATTAAAAGCACTATACTCGATACTAAGAAAAACAATTAGCGAATTCAAAATACAAAACTTATCAAAACTAGTCTCATAACAGCATCTAAGTATGAGGTATCGTTGCTCCCTGGACTTCTGCATTCAAAAGTTGATGTTCTTGGAAACGCAATGAAACTCGTTGCGTCATCTTGAGGTACTTGTCGAGACAGTTCATACTGCATTTTTCTTCTTTCTCGGTGACATTCCTTGTCGTCATGTCATTGACACATGCCGCAAAACATTGCTCTGTTACGTTGTTGTATTGCATAAGAAAGTCGCGGAATGTTTTCATGTCGGTTTCTGTAGTTCCAGGAGGAGCGTCCATTTCTATAAAACATTTGATGACTTCAACGGTTGATCTAATGTTGACTGCTCCGGAGAACAAATGAATTCAGACAAGATATGGAAGACCCTCATGATGCCTTTATGCTATTGCAAGAGTTAGCTTCAGTCAGGATGAGAACCAGGACGCAACCGTACAGAGTAATATCTGCTCCATGACGAAGGCGGTCGCCCAAATAGG